TGGGCATCGCAGGCCGCCCACCTCCAGCCTTTCCCGACACCACTGTCACTCCCCTGGGCTCTTTCAGTTGCCTGCTCTCAGACACAGCCTCGCCGGCTCACCTCTGGAGCCATTGCCCTGACCTCCGCCGGCTCTGTCCCTCTCCATCGGTGCTGGCGCTTTACCGGATGCACGAGGGCCATTGGCTGCACGTCAGTCTTGCAGGTAGGCCACACCTTGTCACCTCCTGCTCTTTGTATCTCTGCAGCATCGGTGTGGGCCTAGCTATGTGTGAGGTTGGGTCCTGTCCGTCCATCGTGACGTTGGTGACTGGCCATGGGCCCTAGGCTTGTGGTCACTATGTGTGTCTGTTGCTGCACAGGTAGGGGGGCCTGAGCAGCGGCTCTTGACTGAGGATGGTGGGAGATGGCTTGGTTGGGTTTTCTCCAATTACGTTTCCCTTTACAATCGTGTTAGTCTCGGGGAGCTACGTGCCTGCTCCCGAGATCCTGTACATGCCGCTGCCTATTTCCCAGTGTGCGCCTCACTCAGGTGCATTTGCCGGTTCACTGCCGTCCAATAAGAGCAGACGCACAGCTCGCCTCCCGCAGGTTTTGGAGGCTGTAAATCACATGTGAAGAGATTATCTGTCTTTCCCTGTGGAGCAGCTGGTGGATTTGAACCGCCAGGCGGGCACCACCTTTGTGTTAGTAAGGCATCTCCCTACAAACTCCACCTCCAGGGGCTCCGGGCTGAGTGGGAGAAGCTGCAACCCTACAGCCACATGATTGAGTCCCCAAGCTGCAGTCCGAGCAGAGGATGGGCACTTCTCCCGTGGGATTTACTGCCTCTGAAAGCCCACCACAGGGTGATCTGTGGGCTGCTTCCAACTCGACAGCGCACAACAACGACGACCACTGCTCACTGAAGTCCACGCTTCATCCTGATTGCCTTTGCTTTTACCTGATGCCTGGATCCCTTCTGGGACACCAGACATTAGTCTCCTCTGGTTCCTGTTGCCGTGACCTTTGCTCTTCATGCTGCTGAGAATTCTGAAGACGGCGGGTCAGATAGGGAGCTCGCAAGGTGTGGGCCGGTGGGGGTTGTTCTGCTGAGCTCTCTGGTGCTTCGAAACGCCGGTGGCTCCTGTCCCCTCCTGCACAGCTCGCAGCCTCGGCCCCTCAGCAGTGACTGGAGTCGAGTTGCTGGCTGGTCCCGGGTTTCGCAGAATGCCCGAGGTGGGGGTACTGGGTGGGGTTTTGTGGAATGCCTGAGGTGAAGAGGTATCAGGAGTTTGCTCGTGGGTAGACTGGGTCGGTGCTTTCTGAGGAGGTCATAGGGGGAGGGCCTCTCTCCTGACGTCATGTCACATCGGCATGACCTCTCGCTGTGCACTGGCCGCACCTTGAGGTGGGGACCTGGGCTTCACCTGGAGGGCCGAGCGTCTATGTTAATTCCTAGTGATGTGGAATCCTTCCAGATGGATTTCTCAGCCTCACGCATGACTCATCACACAGCCTTTGCTTTGTGTCATTGTGGACACTTGGATTTCTATGTGCACTTGGGTTGTAATTCGACCTGAGTTCTTTCTTGTGTAGGCTGTGCTGGTTCTGGTCATTGGGAGCCCCCTCAGCTGCTGCCTCTTGTGTCCCTGTCACCTGTCCTGGTGGCCGGGTTTGCATTCGGGGCTCTGATTACTTTCTAACACCACAAGACAGCAGATGGAGCTTTTACTATTCCTCCTTGGATGTCTGTCCTGTAGCCGTGTGAAAGATGCACACATGCTTTCAGAGTGCGTGATTTGAGATAGCGTGTGCAGTCCGTGGTGGATCGTCTGAACGGTCTGCATGCGGATGTTGGGAGGTGCCGTTGGTCGGCACTGCCTCACTGTACAGGACCGACGAGGTGTGCTCCCAGGCCGGCCTCGCAGTCTCACGCAGGACCGTGTGAGGCTGGCACACAGCCAGTTGTTTGTCTCTCTGAAGGCCCACCTGGGGGCTGTTTGTCTCAGCTCTCGAGGCTGCCACGTGACAGAGCAGAGCGGCTCACACCTTGGCGGGCGCAGACTGCTGCTGGGGGATTTTAAACTGTTAGTGTTCCTGCCTGCAGCCGAAGGCTTGGCCATCACAGTGCCTGGGGTTCTCGAGTGGACCCTGTCCATTCCTTCTTGCCAGCCCTGAATAGAGCCAGCAGCCATGTGGAGTCACATCTGGGCTCCGAGGGGCAGTCGGTGGCACCCAAGATGAGGACGAAGAGGAAGCAGACAAAATATCTAGCTTAGGACGACGGAGGTGGAGTTGAAGTAGCCGCTGGCCCTGGCCCCGACCGCAGCTTGTGGGGAGTGGGTCTTGGGGGTGCTGCTTTTGTTGTAACTGTTGGGCCTCAGAGAGGCTGATGTGTTTACAAGATGCAGAGGAGAGGCACCAATTGGGAGGGAGGGGCCGGGGCCACTAGAGACGAAGGGATGTTGTCAAAGACTGAGGGTTCCGAGGAAGCCCGATCTGGGGCCCAGCACTGGGAGGGGCTAGGGTTAGCTAAAGTTAGGAGGTTCACATCAGAGCCCACAGGCCTTCCCTAACCCTAAACCCCCTCCCTCCCAATAGCTGCTTTCAGGATGCCTGGGGGGGGTCTTCAGGGTCCTTTCAGAAGCCTGTGTGGCTGGAACAATCTGTGAGAATCCAACGATGCTTGTGGGGTGGCAGTGCCCACAGTGACGCTGCAAAGTTCCGGGTGTGTGTGAATTGAGGCCGCTGGTGGCTGCAAGAAATGGCACGTGAGCCCCCTAACCCCAGCTGGCCCAGCTCTAGTTCCCTGCACTCTGGTGTGCAGTGAAGCTTGCCACCCTTGTTAACCTTGGCTGCCACCTGCCCACCTTCCATGGTGAAACCGGGGTCTGCACACACCCGGGATGCTGAGCTGTGCTCTGTCACAGAAGGTACTGGAACGGACCACAGCTGGCCAGTATATACTGCCTCTGCCACCTGAAGCCAGACACCAGTGATAAAAATGGAGATGAAAAAGGAAAAAAAAAAGATTAGCTTGAAATCTCATGTCCGTCACATCCCACCACCTCACTGTTCCAGAGCGTGTGGTGAGGCCGTGGCAACAGTACCGCCCGTGCTGGGGTGGGGCTGGGGTCTGTCTCATCAGTGAGGCGGGGGGGGAAGGGGTCTGTCTCTGGCTGCGGGTGTAGGACGGGGTCGGGGGGTGTGGATTGGGTTCTGTCTCTGGCTGCGGGTGTAGGACGGGCTGTGGAAAGTGCATGCCCCGCAGTGGTTTTCCAGGTGAGTGATTCCCATGGTCCAGGTGCAGGTGGGCCTAGCGGGCTTTAACGTCAGAGCAGCACAAGGCTGCACATCGGGTCAGGTGCTCAGTGCAAGTGACCCCTGACTTAGAGAAACTGCCCTGTGGCGGTTTCGGGTTTTATTAAAGATAAAGATCTGTTGCTATGCAGTGGGTCTGCCCTGGTGCCCCGTGTGTGCCAGCACTGAGCCCCGTTCCCTTGCCCCGCTGGGGAAGCAGGTCACCAGGCCTTTCTTCTGTGACGCTGGTGGCCTCCTGCTGCCGACCTTCACTGCAGGTTATAAAACCCTCAACAACCAGACCCCTGTTGTCGAGTCGATCCCTTGCACCCCTCCGTCAGGCGTCTGAGGCTGCGAATCTTTACAGGATGAGGATTTCTTTCTTTCTTTTTCAGTTGGAGTAATTGATGCATTTGAACTGCTGACCTTTGATTAATAGTGCAACACATAAATCCAGGCCACCAGAGTTCACTTGGCAGTTCTAATAGCCATGGTTATGTGAGAAAGCTATTCAAATTCCTGGGTTTTTCTTTTTCCCCCATTGATTTTCATTATGTGTCTTGGTGAGGCCCCTCAGCCACTGCAGCATGTCATGAGGTCTGAGAGTCAGACCATCTTCCGTTCAGCAAGACGGAAACGGGTTTTAAAAATACTAAAAGAACTGCGGTGGGGGGAGAGGGCTGGGCAGGTAGAGAAGTGCAGCAGTGAATGAATGGAAATCCAAATTCTCTGTAAACGTTCATTAAAATTATTAAAAATACTAAAAGAGACAACAACAATAAACATTTGAAATTAATATGTCAGGGAAAAATAATAAAAAAGAACTATTTTCATCACTAAGGAAAAGCTGATTTTGTTGTTAAATTTATGTTAACATATTTTGAGATTTTAAAGAACTGAATAAAAAAATATTTTAAAAATGGTCTCAGTTTAATGTCTAGTTTGATGGAAACAATCGCAGAACAGAAGCTGTGTGTGGACCACAGTTATGAGGGGCGCGCCATGCTGAGACCAGGCCATTGTGGGACCCGCTGGTCCAAGCAGTGCTCCGGAAGTAACGGGTGATCTGTGGACGTGTGTATGTTGATAAGGTGGAGGTTTTTGTGGAGAAGATGACGTGACCTGGGCCGCCTCATTGTCTCTACCTCGTTGGCATGTACCTCCCCTGCTCCTCCGCCTGGGAGCTGCGGTTGGAACCCGAGGAGGGAGCTCTTGCTCTGACGTGGGCCTCAGCACACACTGTCTCTGATGGAGACGCAGCTCCCTGCCTTTTCCTCGGAAGAGAGAGTAAGACAGTAGGATGTGGGCCAAGACGTGCACGGTGGGATTGTAGTCAGTGGCACGGAAGAAAACGTGGACAGTCTGCCGAACCTAAAACACATTTGCTCAGTAAACCTTCCCCAAATCACAGTGACTATAAGTGAGAATGGAGCTGAGCTGCAGCTACTGACACACAAGCCAGCACGGGCAGAAGGGCGACATTACTGTCTCAGTGGTTTTAATAAAGCCTGTCCTCCCAGGCAGGACGGCCATTGGGTGTTTAACAGCATTGGGATGTATTAGCAGCCTGTGAATCCAGTTACACAGATCAGCCTCCGGCCATGCTGTGAGGCCTTCGGTCAGCGGTGCTCGAGTGAATTATGTGAGGGGAGTACTGAGATCGGGTCAGCGGCGAGGAAGTGTGTAGTAAAATCTTTCTCTTCTTCCTTGCTTCCTCAGATCCTCTGTCAATGGGTCCTCAGAAAGCTCTGGAAACCATTGGTGCGAACTTACAGAAGCAGTATGAAAACTGGCAGCCCCGGGTAAGCGCTACCGGCCACCCCCTTTCCTTCTCCAGGGACACAGGACGCTTGCACAGGCCCTCACCTCCTGTCACCGAGGGTCGGAGTCCCCCTACTCTGAGGCCCTTTACTCTCTGCTGACTTCCCCCCAGCCAATAGGGACTGGGGAGCCTGTAAGTTGTTTTACTCTCTGCAAAATCAACAGAAAAGAGAAGGACCCCCACATCGCTCCAAAATCTTGGTCTTGGTTTTGCACAAGACATGAGTTTTCTTTTGCGACTTTTTTGTCTCCCGTGGATGGAGCCGCCCCTTCCATCTCTTCTGTTTTTAGAGTCAAGGCAAAGGGAGTGCCCGCTTCGAAAGGAGGCACCTGTTATGTGCTTCCTCTCTGATTCAAAGATAGGCATTTTACTAATTAATGTGCTCATGTATTTTCTGTTTTTATCAAGAAAAGTGGCGTGGATTGTAACGGTGTCAGGTTGCCTTTAAAATCTTAAATTATCTGTAAGCTGCCTAAGGGTGTGGCCTTGCTCATTAACTTTGGGGGTTTAACAGAAAACAGAACTTGAGGTGTTCATGGAGGCCTCCTGTCACCCACCCTAGGGGGCACTCTGTGCACCTGGCTGCAATGTGACACCAGGGCAGGCTGGACGGTGGCCTTGCTGGGTGACTCTGATGAGGTTCATGCCTCCGTCCTGGAATCCAGGTCTGATGGGAGCAAATGGTGCATGGAACCTGGTGGTCCTGCTTGAGCCTCAGTGTGGATGAGGGACTTGAGCAGAGCCAGGAAGGAAGATTCACCTTTGCCCCGTGTTCCAGCTGGGCTGGTGTGAAACATCCATGTCTTGTCTCCCGATGTAGCTCTGTGCCTGCTGCCTGCCTGTCAAGTCGGGGCGTGCTTGTACTCTTTCCAAGGTGCGTTCTGAGTGGTTGCTTTGATATGCACCTTTAGGCTCCGCCTTTGCCTCCCTCACATCTGGTAATCTCTAGGTGGTTTTCTTGAGAGTACAGTGTGCCTGTTTGGGTGCTGGATAAGGACTGGAGAGATCTTTTGATGGTGTGTGTTCTTGTTCCGTCCCTTAGCGTTGACCGGGACCCCACATACAAAACATTGTTGCAGCCACAGTGTCAGTCCATGTCCATCGCGGGTGATCGGCTGGCACTGGACAGGGCAGGTGGAGATCTGCTGTTCCCAGGATCGCACGAGTCGTTTGACGGCACCTGTAACAGCGACAGCCAGCACTTTACCGAGTACAGGGTCTTTCTCCAGGGACCGTCCACTTCTGATGAAACACTCAGTGTCCTTGCTTCCAAAGAGCATTCTGACATTGTTCTTCCTGGGACTGACCAGTTACTCTTCGGGCCCTTTGCCAGCATCACAACTCACTGGTGTTAATTCTTCTTTGGTCTTCCTTCCACATAGGTGTGAGGCAACTGAAAATACACGGCTTGGGCCAAGTGCACCTTGCTCCTCAAAGTGCTCTCCTTGTTCTTTTGCATTTTAAAGAGCATCCCCGTGTCAGGTTTACCTAATGCAGGGTGACTTCCGGGCTGCTCCTTCCAGCGGTGCTGATCCTGAACCAGATGTCATGACATCCTGATGCCTTTACTCTCCTCTCTTTGTCATGACGAGCTTTGATCCAGTTGAGAGGATTTTGTTTGCTTTCAGTTAAAGTCTCATATTTGTCATCAGGTGCCACTGAGTCTGTGGTGGCTCCTAACAAGCCTGTGAGCAGCACATGTGAGCCTCGCTCCTTCCTGTCCCACCTTCACGCTGTCAGCCATGCTTGAGCCCATGCTGACAGACCCTGTGCCAGAGCATCTTGTTGAGGGTAGTTTGATCTTTATTTGACACCACCCCCCCACCCCGTTTTCCCAGATTGGTGTCCTTTTCAGAGGACTGGCCTCTCTTGACAGCACGGCCAACGTCTGTGAGGTTACGTTTTCTCATCCTTCTGTCTGAGGAACATTCTGGCTGCACTTTGTTCAGGACAGATTTACTTTGTTGTTCTGGCAGTTCAGGGGATGTTCCATAGTCCTCGCCAGCACTGCAGTTCGAAAGCATTGGTGGTCCTGTGTCGTCATTATTCATTGCCCTATTTCAGATGCACAGGCAATTGAAAACATCATGGCTTAGGTCAGGCGTGCCTTGAACTTTAAACTGACATCTTCACTCTTTAGCACTTTAGGAAGGTCCTTGACAGCCTCACGTTCCCCAGAGTCGCACATCTTTTGATTTCTTGGGGACTGATTGAGAATCCGAGTAAGATGAAATTGTTGATAACTTCAGTCTTTTCTCTATTGGTCCCTTGATGAGGATTTATTTTATTGTTACTGTTTCTCTGGCTACATGTTTATTCAACACAGAACAGGTTTCCTCCAAGTTTACCGAGGTGGCTGACCACGTCCACCACCAAATCTACCTCTAAACGGAATTCACTTACCAAGCCTCAGCTTCCGCTTTCTTGTTGGCACGAGGAGGCCCTGTGCTTTGTGTGTATGTGTCTCTGTTAGCCTCCCCTCAGGTCAGTCTTGTAGGTGTTCACCTTCCAGACGTTGAGATCGTGGCCTGCTGGTCTCAGGACAGCCGCAGTGTGCGGTGACAGGCATTATCGTGGGAGGCAGGTGGTCTCAGGAGAGCCACAGTGCCTAGTGACGGGCGCTATTGTGGGAGGCAGGTGGGGGCCTGGATATCCTCATTGGAAGGAGCCTGTAGAAGTGACTCCGGACAAACTGTTCCTTCACGTGGCTTCATGACTGAGACTCTGCATGGCCTTCATGACATCAAGGTCCGCATGTTCTTGTCTGCCCACTCAGTGTGCTTTGCAAGTGGACATCCTTCATGACCACCATCACCCCCTCCTTAAAAAGGAGTCCGTCTATGGTAATCCCGTTCTTTTTGGACATCAACCCTGTGATTGTGGCTGCCTTTGAAGCGGGAACTGGAAAGTTTGGTGAGGAATTTTGTTTCCTCGGTGTTAAGATGTTACATGTTGAAGGCTGTAGTCTTTGATCTTCAGTATGTTCTTCAAGTCTCCTTCACTTACAAGCAAGGTTGTCTGTCCTGATGCCACATTCCTCTTCATATAGTCTAGTGTCTTGAATTACTTTTTACCACACAGATTGAATAGGTCTAGGAAAGGATACAGCCCTGATACATACCTCTCTTCATTTTAAACCATGCTGTGTTCTCTTGTTCTGTTCAGACAACTGCTTCTTGATCTGTTTTGCATGAGCACAATCAAGTGTCCTGGGATTTCTGGTTTTCCGAATGTTATTCATAACTTGTCATACTGGCTGGCAGTCCACGGACACTTCTGAATTAGCATCCAGACTTTTGCTTAAGAGGAAGGAAGTCCCTGTGGCAGCTGGATGAGGCACCAGGATGTCAGTGACGTTGACTTTCAGGCATTGACGATGGAGGCAAAGATGGGAGTAAAGAGATGCTCATGGGATGACGTAGTTCTCCTCCCAGGGTCCCAGGAGAGCTGTCCTGTGGCGGCGAGCACAGTGTGACTAGGTGCCACCAGGGAGAGACACCGTGTAGCCTGCAATTACTTGTTCAAGTCATAGGACTTTAAGAATGGATTTCCCAGACAGTTTTCTGGATGAGAAGAGGTTCAGAGGACCGAGAGGTGGGCCATGCCCTGCCTCTAGGCACTTAGAAAAGACATTAATGGGCCTGGTGGGGCTCCAGCTGGGTCTGCCGGAAGTGGAATGTTGGGGGAGTCAGCTGCAGCCGCTGCAGACAGACAGATCTTTGCACTCGGAGGCAGAACCACAGCAATGAATGCTTAATGCTGCTTCCTGAGTGCCAAGACTATTGCATTCATTTTTGAGTGCGGCAAAAGTATTTCCACGTTTCCTGCTCCAGACCATTAGTGAGCCTTGCTGCTTCCAGAAAAGAGCCCAAGGAGCCACAGTTGAGGGAGACCTCTGAGCACTGGAGCCCACAGAACACTCTAGGCCCCATCACCTAACAGAGGCCGGGGGGCCAGAGTGACCAGGGAGGCCCGGTGTCCAGCACAGCGGTTCTCTGAGCGACCAGGCTTCCCGCTACCTTCTAGGGTTTGCACAGAGCTTGAGGCAGTTCCCAGGCTCAGATGTTTGTGTGCTGGGTGTCGGCTTCTCAGCAGTAAATCAGGGTCCTTTGAAACATTGCAGAGCTCAACGCGTCCCACTTTATTGCTCTCTCCAGGGCTCTTGAGCTTCCTGCAGTAATAAAGAGTGGTTGGTGTGCCATCTGCCATAAAGCAATGGGAGCATTATTGCATTTCCCAGACCTTTGAGTAAATAAGGAGCCTGGTGCTCGGTTAAGCGCTAGCCTCTAACTGAAAGGTCAGCAGTTCAAACCCAACCACTGTCCTCCCCAGGAGGATGAGGCAGTCTGATGGGGGGCTTACCACCTGAGACCTAGGGCAGCTCCGCTCGGTCCTGCAGGGCCGCTGCGGCTTGGAACTGACTGCCAGTGTTCACTGGGTCTCTGTGTCGGTCCCCTGCACCTGGTTTTCCATTTCTCGTGTCTTTCATTGCAAGATCCACAAGGTTGGGCAATTTGAAATCGAGGTATCCTCAGGAGCGTGTGCTGGACGTGTCGCATGAAGCCCTGCTGGTGTGGATGAGCATGGGGGAGGGTCTGTTGTCTCGCCGGCTGCTCTCCACCCTGCTGTGTGGACCGCTGACCGCGAGGCCCTGCCCACCTGAACACTGGGAGATTCGGTGCCCTCCTCGCGGGGCTGTCCGATCCTGCTCATGCCCCTGCCTTTCTCACTTCCAGCCAACACAGGTAGATCTTTGGGAAAGGTGGATATAATGAAAGAAGTGGAAAGCAGCCCTAACCGGTGGCTTTTTCCTGGTGGCTAGCTGACTGTGTGGCCCATATTTCCTTGTCAGACTGACTGAGCCCTTTCCGAAATAACTGATCAATCTGCCACTGGTGAGGTATTTCTTCTGATTGAATTTATGACTTTATCTTATTGCCTGTAGGTACATAAATTTGCATTCTGCAGGATATTGAAGGG